TTTTTTATTAAAGCAAATTCGAATGATGACATTTTATTAAAAGATAATATTTTATTACATAATATATATTACATAATAAACTTGCGCATTGTGATGACAAATCAAACAACTCTTATCACTTAGAATAATAATCTGTAACTTAAATTTAAACGATGATAATCAAATAAATTGAGAATGGCGGAATAGCAAATGCTTTGGGAAAAATTATACAAAATTTATAGTCAAAATATGAAATAGTAAGAAAATAAGTGATATGAAAACAAATATGTGTTGGGCAGATAGTAAGAATAAAACAAAAAGTCTATTTTATTTATTTACCTAATATGCTACTTTTATATGTTCTAATATGTTCTATATAAATTTACAAAGTAAAGGTCACAGCTTTTATATGACACACTGCTTAAGGTAAAATGTTCAATAACTAATTAATAAAATTAATTAAGCAAAAAGTTCCTCCTATGATGAGATTGTTCTGTGCAAAAATATGCACGTTAAAAAGTAAATGGATAGGGGGAAGGGAGGCAACTAAAATTATTTAAAAACTGAGTTTAATTCAGTCTTAGTTTATAGCTTATTTCTAGTAATGATTATTATATACTTTTATATATATATATTTTTTGCATTGCAGTAGATAATGAAAACTAAAATACATCAATATCTATATTTTTATCGTTTTTAATGCATTTTGTGTCAACTTCATTGTTCTGACTTCCCCATGAGTACCCACTAATTTTTTTTCTGAATTCGCTTTATTAAAATCTGTTAAATCAGTAAAAAAAAAAAAAATTACTATGAAAATCAGAGTTGATCCTAGGTTACCGGTAGTTTAAAGGGAAGGGACAATTTTTAAAGTTTTCCCCGGAGCCATTTTTACAAGTCCATTATTTCTTACTGAATCGTATCTTATCAGCAATTTTTTAAAAATTAGGAAGCCTACTATATGATGTAAACAAAAAATATGTCTTTTCACTTCTTAAGTTGCTAATTTTGTATATTGACACATCGAAAATCAACTTTTTATATCTGCAAACAATTTTTTAGGTTTTTTAGGCAGCCATTATGGATAAAATGTGAAATTAAAAAATTTTATATCAAGGTTTTAACAAAGTAAGCATACAGTTGTATACAATAAAAAAAACTATAAAGTTTTTTGAAATTTCGTTTTTTAATTACAGAGCTTCAAAGTATGAACAAAACATGTCTTTGCTAACGAAGTTTAAATTTTTGGAAAAATTAGAAATTTCAAATTGCGATATCTCATGAACCACAAAAGATTGTAAGCTGAAATTTTTAAGAATTACTTTTCTCATTGGTATAAACCAACCCACCAAGTTTCATCAAAATCTGAGGGGGTCCATGTTGGACCCTTGTTCACTTGGCATGGAATGACCCAGTTTTTAAACTTGCTGGTAAAGAGGATTACATCTCAGTGAGCATTTACTCACCGCAGCAATTAAATAAATAAATATTAAACTAAATAATTTATAGGAATAAAAAAATATGTATTAGTAAATACGAATGCTAAAAAATGCAGTAAAAACTAACCACTCAAAAAAAAGGTATTTAATTTTTTTATGCATTAAAACAAAAGTAACATGTTGTGTACTGCAATGTTTTCTTTTTATAGATTAAATTAGTATTTTACGTCTGATGATGGTCTATACAAATTAAACCGCAATATCACAAAAAAACAAAATTTGTAGGATGCCGTTTTTGACGTTTTATAACTTATTATAACTTTACGTACTACAAGAAAAGTCGCTATAACACTTTTATAGCTGCTCCAAATTCACTTTTTTAAAACAAGTTCTATTAATTAACATTAAAATAATGCTTTTAAGCATGTTGCCATGCAACAAAATTTAATCGCAAATTATTGTGTTTTTATAGTTGGCGGAACTAAGAATTTTAAAAAAGCTTAAGGCAACATTACTTTTATTAAAAAATAAAATAAAATGCAAAACCATAAGTTTAGTAGAGTTTTGAAACCAGCCCATTTTCTAAAGGAGGAATGACATCCACCTTACTCACCCCCTCCTCCTAGGTATGAGCTCAAATTAAACCCAACACTCATCTGCTCTAGATGGCCAGAAAAGTTTGTTAAAAGGTCCGTACGGATTCATAAATCTTACCATCTTCCTCAATATTTTCAATTTCATTTATCAAATTAATCCAATGAAATGTATCATATTTACATAAAATAAATTTACCAGTTTCAATGTATTGGTGTTAATTTGCTGATTAGGTTGAATACTTTGAATACCAGAAAAAGAAAACATGTTTGTTATATTAAAATCTCACTTGTTCGCTTAAACAGTATCTATAGATTCTAGGTTAAATTGATGATTAAGGTTAAATTGATGATTCTAGGTTAAATTGATGATGCTCCTAGTTCTAGAAATTGTTCTATTTTGCTGAAAATGTTTTTTCAAAGTGGCGAAAGTCTTTCTTTTTTAATCTTGAATTACAATTACAATTCTGCAAGTCTTTCTTTTTTAATCTTGAAAAAATTAATCTCTTCAATTCAATATCTATAAAAAAAGCAGTACAGAAGTATTTTGTCAACTTTTCTTTTTGTTGCCTTAGGTGTCTTGCTTGATATTTTGCAATGTAGGATAAGCTGTTAACTTGTTTATTGCCTCTGATAACATCAAATTGTATTCTTTAATTATTATTTTTTTGACAGATTATTGTTGTTCTATCTGTTTTTATTTCAACTCAAAAGTTTTAAATTATACAATGTAAAATTTTGTTAAAATTATTATTTTAGATGGATGAATGTTTTTAATCCATATACTTGCAAATCAAAAAACTTATGGACATGTACTTTCTTGAAACATTTTAAGAAAGATCATTGAATACAGAATGTTTAAAAACCAAATAAAACAACCATAAGCCAAAAATATTTTATAAAAAGAACATTTTCAAAGTTATCTTTACTTTAATAAAAATGTTAAGAAAATTTTTTTTTGAGAAAAGTAGGGTACCTTCCCCAGTGCCCCGGCCCTCTGGTTATCTGCCCTGAAAACAATTTTAAAACACATTTATCAGGACTACACTAGTGCTGAAATTTTTAGAGTTCCAGTTTGTCTGGAAAGTAGTGAAAAATCTATCACAAGATTCCACTACATAAAAGTAAGGCCCATGACCAGTCCCCCCACCCCCTTCCCTCCTGTTGTCTCAGGCCATAAAAATAACTTTTACATGCACGTTCATTATCTTTAAAAAGTAAAATGGTAAAATGGAGTTATTTCAGGATCTTCTTGGAGCCATAGTCTAAAATTTTCAAGGAATTCTTATTTTACTAAGTAAGAACAGTGTAAAAATCAGCAAAATCTGAGATACAGAATGATTTTTTTTAAAAACTTCTGGATCATTTGAATTACCCATGCTACAAAAATTTAATTGGAAAAATATCAGAAACATATAGAACAATAGTTTTGAAATTTTTTTTAAGGTATTGCCCTAACTTTGTTATATTTAAGACCTTTAAACTGATGAAAGCAGATAGAGTAGTTACATTTTACAATTTCTAGTTGTTTTTAATGTTGCAAATGTAAGTCTAATCCTTTAATGAAAGCAAATTTAACACCTTGATTTTTTTAATGAAAAACTCATACATAGCTTCTGATAGGAGTATTTGGTTTTGTTATACTTTTTTTGTATTTTTAACAAAAGCATTAAATTTCACAAGTTTAAAAAGCAATATCATGGTTTTTAACAAAGTAATATCGAATAACTGAAATATTTTTTTAATGGGAAAGGGTTAATTTTGTAATAAAAATGTGTACCTCCTATGTTTATGTACACAACGAAGGGGGTTGTTGGAAGCATACAGGTGCGTACAAGTAAGGATCAGGTCCTAAAACAGTGGCTTTAATGCGTGCATACTTTATGGAAGCCCCTAAGAACAGAATTTATTCTAAATGTTATGGTCAATTTAGTAAATCAAGTCAATACTTACAAAAGTTTTACTTCATTACTGCTAATTGATAGAATGGAATTGTTTACTAGTTTAAAACTTGTTGTAAATAGGAAGTCGCCAAACTTGCTGTAAATGGAAAAATTAGAATAAAAAGACTAAACTTGATGTTAAATAGTATTTTAAGCATTGAAATGCAGTGTATAACAATAATATGTACTGTGAGATCCTTATTCCTTTAAAAACCTAATGCCAACCAAAGCTCTAAAAAGTAAGACATAAAATATAGTTCCAGAGTGCTCCTGAAGATAGAGTAAAAATGGTATACTTAAAATCCTAATTCATGAATATTTTATACTTAATGTTGAGAGTTAATACTATTATTAATGAATTAATTATAACACTCAATGTAATATTCAACTACTTTAAAAAAAAAGCATTTAAATGTGGTTTTCCCAATTTTTTGAGTAATAACAATATTAATAAAATAATAATTAAAACTGTGTTTCTCAAGAAAGGATCCATCAACTGTTAATGTTAGATTTTAACAGCTGCTTTTCATAAAAAATTTAAAGTTTATTCTTAAAACCAATTATTGATGTGGCATTGAAATGTTCATTATCTAAACAGGGGTTTCCAACTCTGTGCCCGCAGACACCATAGCCCCCAATGGAACAATTTGTAGTGCCCGCAACTATTTGTCAGTGAAAAATGCTTTTTTAAATATAAATTAAAAATATTTTCATTTATTTGTTATAGATTTAATTTTTTGAGTGCCTAGGTTTATTAAATACGTTTACATATTTGAAATATTTTATGTATGAGCGGTTCCTTTGATGGCAATACTTGTTGCAACTCATCTAGTTGCGAGACAGATGCTAGCCTGGAACGGGGAGTGCTATTCGCACATCACTTCTCGTCCCGATTAAATATAGGTGGTGCCCATCACCTTATCAATATTTTAGAATGTGTTCTAGAGTACAAAATATTTTTAACTAAGTAACTTCAACAAACTTCATTTAACTGATTTTGTATAAAATTTTCCATAATGATATCAATGTATTAAAAAAATACTCACCAATTATACAGTAATCTGATTGAGTACTAACAGGTTGTAAGTCAGGATCAATTTTATTGTAATACCATCCTAAATAATTCCCACAGTAGCATCCAGAGTATATATTAAAAAACATAATATTAATCGAAGAATAAGAGGCACATGTTACAACACAGTACGATACTGAACTGTTAAATGAAAACTGTAAATTTGATGGTAATGCATTGCAAATCGGGTTTGTTACTAAAAAAAAAATATTTAACTGCATAACTTGTTTAACAAACTATAAATAGACAACTTCTTGGGTTGTCACAAACCCTCCCTTAAAGCAAAAGAACAACAATGTTTTAATTTGTGTTCTAAATTGACCAAGTTTCATTTTTCATGAAACTCTATATTTAAAGTATGCTTGGTTTGGTAATTTTTACACTCTATAATATTAAATGAGTTTATGTAACAACCTTCACTCCTTTATTATATATCTATCTTCTTTTTTATGTGCTTCTATAAAAATTCAAAATTTTTTAATTTCTTCTCAAGTCTTATTTTAAACTGAACATGAAACTGAAACTGAAGTCTTTTACGAAAAGTAAAATCACCTATAGGATTTCGCTGTTCAACCTTTCCCATTTCACACACAACCATGAATGTTGAACCATTAGGACTGATTTGATAAACTCCAGTTTTATTAAAACCATTATTGTAATGTTCCAGGCAATTCTTTGTTACTCCTGCTGCTATAAATGAGTATATAATTATTACAACTAACTTTTTATTATTTTAATAAAAAAAATAAAGTTAATTATGAATTAATTTTTTAACTATTTTTATTACTACTATTGTTATTACTATTATTTATATTATTATGATATAAATAAATATATACATATATATATATATATATATATATATATATATATATATATATATATATATATATATATATATATATATATATATATATATATATATATATATATAAGGGTGGGTCAAGTAATATTAAAATATATATATATATATATATATATATAATATATATATATATATATATATATATATATAAGGGTGGGTCAAGTAATATTAAAATATTGCCACTTTAGTTTTATTTGATATTTGATGTCTAATACCAAAAACATACAGCAAAATATTTTTCATTACAACAAAAATGCCCTATTTTTGGAGCTAGGTGACTACTGTAGTATTTTGATATTATTTGACTTAGCATAACCTAGTACCTAGCATAAGCAAGTACATAAGCAATTTTTTGAAATTATTTTTCATTGAATGTAAAAAATCTTTTTTTTTTAAGATTATAGGTGTTCAACTATAGTTAACTTTCGGAGAGAAGTAAGTAAACTTTTGGAGAGAAGACTAAGTAGCCGTTTATTTTACATTGCCATAGTGTATTTGGTAATGCAAATGAAGTTCCGCAGACTATGCTGCCGACCAACAAGGAAGTTGCGCAACATTTTTAAAAATAAGAAAAAATGCTTCTAACAAACATGAATGTTGTTGTAGAAGCAGTGGGTAATTTGTGAAATAAAGCATTGATTCCAACAACACTGCAGAAGTCCATTGTTAAATGAGGCACTGCACCATTTACAAACTGGGTTAAAACTGTATCGCTCTAAATCAAGTTCTGGTTATTTTGCTACTTTTACTAGATCTGTGAATTGTCTGTTTGATATTTCAGCTAGCAAATGTTCAATTTTGTGTAATAAATCTATTAAAAAACTGAGCATATCTTGCAATTGTCCGTGAGACTTAAAAGTTGTGAGGGAGAAAACTGATATTTCTTTTTGATCAAAGACATTTATGTTCAATATTTATTCCTGGTGTTGACAAGGCAGCAACAAGCTAGCTACAAAAACATCTAAAGTTAAAGTCTAACAAGCAGTTGAGAACTTTAAAGCATAAGCAAAAATCAAATGCTCATGCTAGTTCAAGTCAGTATTCTTCTGATAAAGTTTTACTTACTGAAAGTTACGAGTTACATAGCAATGAATAAAATTAATACTACAATGAATACTTTTAATGCAAAAAACTCTTCCAAATCTAGCAAAAGAAACTGACAGGTATAATGTATCAGATCGAGCTACTGTTTCACTTGCTACTGCTGTTCTTGCTCTGCTTGACCTTGGACTCATTAATAAAGAAGCTCAAAGTTTAGTTATTAACAAGAAAAAATTCATTGTGAAAGATGTAAATTTAGAAAAATATTACAAATAAATGTCAGAAAAATGAAACTGTTGAAAATATTTACTTTGATGGCAGGAAGGATAAACCCGTAACAAGAACTAAACAGAAAGGTGACATTATTCTTGGGAACATTATGTTTTAGTTGTTGAACCAGATAGTCATTATCTTACAACACAAAAATCTGGTAAAAGTATTGAAATTGCTAATAGCATTTTTCAGGTCATTACAGACTCAGGCGCAACTGATACAATTTGTGCTATTGGTTGTGACTGCACAACTACCAATACAGGCTGCAAAAGAAGAGTTTTTCATAAAGTAGAACTGGCTCAGAGACAACCACTTTTCTGGTTTACTTGCATGCTGCACACAAACTGCCATAGTGGCATCTGTTTGCACATTTTGAAGGACTAACTTCTGGCACTAACTCCTGGTCCTGTTACTGGTCCTTTCGCCAAGAACATTTAACACTGTGACGAAAATTTTATTATTTAATTCAGACCAATTGTGTATGACAATGCTATGCCTGTCAGTGCCGGATCCAGGATATTTGGTTATGTTTCTAATTGCATGTCCAACACCATAAAAATATTTTTGATCACTAGATAGATCATCTAGCATATCATCATTTAGAACAGGCATCAGTAACAGATCCAGGATTTTTTGGTGTTTTAGATAGCTAACTTCCATGGAACATATATTGAACTAACTCCAAATATTTGTATGTTTATTTATGTATTTGACAAAAATTAAGACCATATAAAATTTGTAACCCCTTCAAATTGAGGCGGGTTTAAACTTTATATGGTCATAATTTTTGAACGCTAAGAGATAATACTATAAAACTTAAAATTTAAATTGTACAAAAAATAATTTAACAACTTGTTGCCCTACTACGTTGGGGCAACAAGTTGTTAAGTTACTTTTTTGCTCCTAGCCTCTAATTATTTCAACTTCAAAGCCTCATTATTTGTTATAAGCATAAACAAACAAATATTTGGAGCTCCATGTCTGGAACACCAAAAAACTCAGGATCCGTCATTGCCGTCTGTTCTAAATGAAGATATACTTGATGATCTGTCTAATGATCAAAAATATCTTTATGTACATGCAATTAGGAACAGAAATGCATGTCAGGACTTTTTAGTGAAAAAGCCAGTTCCTCTTAACTATGCTCAATGGATCACTAATAGCTAATAGGGTTTGCTAGTTGTACATATTGTCAGATATGTACAACGAAAAATCTTTACACAATTACACATTTCATTGTGACAATTATGTTCGAAACTGGTTTTCAATTAAACAAAGCCCTTTATGCACAGATCATCTGTGCATAAAAGAGTTTATTTAATGAAAAAAGAGTGCCAACCTCATTACTATGTTCTATGGTAACCCTTTTGTGTTATATATTTTTTTGCCAACATCCAACAGTTTAAGAACTCATTTTTCCTAATTTTGAGGGCTAGAATAGTAATAGTAATACAAACTGCTGTAATGACTAAAGAGCATAAAGTTTGAAGTTTATACTTTAACAACCATTAACAAATGTTTTTATTTTAAAAGTAACACATTGAGATTACTAAGATTTGGAACTTTATCAGTCTTTCCATACCTCTTAGAGTAAAGTTCCAACCACAATTCTCACAATATCCCTTGTAGTACCTTGTTCTTCTTGTTTGTCAAGGTTTAAGTTTCAGATTTAAGTAACTGAGAAAGAGTTGTAACTACAATAAAGTAACCTCCTTGTCTGTAGTGGCCCTCTTGACCTTAATAAGGTAAAAAAAAATTAAATTAAAATTAAAAAAAAGTGAATCTATTATGATCTGTGATGGTATCTTGAATGCCCTAAAATCAATGGCTAGAGCCCAAGTTTCCAGTGGGCTCTTTAAGAAGAAAAAAAACAGAGAAAGATTAGAGGCAGATCTAGGAGTATCTTGCAATGCTCAGGATATGCCCATAATGTTAATAATTTATATAACCTTTGATATTTAAAGAAAAAAATTTAATTTATACTATATAAGTATATAGATAAATATAGACATAATAATAATTGTTAAATAGTAATAACAATCATATAATAATAAAGTAATATATATAATAATCATATAAAGTAAACTTACTATTTATTATTATTTTATTTATTATTTTATTTTTATTATTATAGTATTACTATAATTATAGTAAATAATGCCTATAATAATAATAATAAAATAAAGTAAATTTAATGAGGAGAATTATAATAATAACAATAATACTATTAAATAGCAATGAAAATAATAGTAATGATAGTAACGATAATAATAATGATTGTATTAGTAATTATAACAAAAATAACAATAACAATAATGATTATAACAATAACAATAATAGTAAAAAAAATATTAATAAAGATCACAGACAAATATTAAACAATATTAATAAGTAATAATGACGGTAATAAATATGTAAATATAATGTAAATAATATCAACATCACATATATTAATAATACTAATAACATTAACAATAATAATCTATGATAAGCCTAACATTTTAAATACAGATACCATACTGCTTTTGGAAGAAATGTAAGAGAGTGCTGCTACATTGACTGATTTATACCTGCCCAAACCCAAACTTTCAGACTGAGGGAATGAGAACATTTAATGGAGCGCTGCTTCATCAACTGATTTAGGTAGAACATACAAAAATATGCTGGTAAATCGACTGAGGCTCACTAAATTTAGCAGCATCCCGATGCATGTTCTACCTAAATCAGTCAATGTAGCATAACTACATTACATGTTCTCATTATATCAATATATAGCCTGTTAAGGCCTGTGTTTTTTTAAAAACTCAAAACCTCATTTTGAGCCATGATACCTTCTGCTTATTTCGATAATTTAAAGTCACTAAAAGATTGAAGATAATAACAAGAACTTTTTTAAGTGGTAAAAATATTGGAGAGTGATGGAGGGAGGTTTACTTGATTATGATTCCGGACAGTTAGGCAATTTAATAGATAAACAAGATCACACAATGTGAGCATTTTTTATACAAAATAAAGGATGCCATATATACACTTTTTTTCTGTGGTTTTTTTAGGTACTCCAAAAAGATATAATGGTCGCATCACAGAGCACCACAGAAGAGCATATAACTTTAAAGTTTACACTTGCTTTATGTAAAAAAAAAGCCTAGAGTTGGCATCAATCAGTGAAGAATCCAGCATTTTTTGGTGTTTGAGAGCAAAATCCAAACATTTGTATGTTTATACTCATTTCTAATAACTATGCTTCTCAAAAAGTTGCAATGATTGGAGGCTGGGAACAAAAAAGCCCTAAAATTTCATCCCCTCTGCCCCAAATGTTGAGAGCAACAAGTTGGTAAAATAGTTTTTTTTGCTATTCTTAACTAAGTTTATATTCATTAATAAATTTAAAGTTTAAAAGTATTATCTCTCAGAGTTCATAAATTATGACCAAATTTAAGCCCCCCTTACAATTGTTAATTACAAATTAATTTCAAATGGGTTTTACAAAGGGGTTACAAATTTTATATGG